TAAGATTCCCCCTGGTTCATCCAGGATATAAATATTTTAAAATATCTATTTCTCTCCTGAATATCATGGTTTGAAATTTATTATACTACAGTCCTTTCATTCTCTTTGGCTGTATTTAACAATCAAGGTAAGAGACAAAGAAATCAACCAAAGAAGAATAAAATCCCTTGCAATTACTAGTGAGAGGATTCCTGTACATGCATGATACCAGTTCTGGGATGGGACTCCTAATTCAGCAGGCATTAAACACTTAAATGATGTTGCAACAGGTATAGAACCCTGTGCAATATTCAAAATAAGTATTGCATTACAGAAGTGCTCAGATATAATGAGAGTGAGTTATTTAGAAGTGCAAAAGTGAAAATACACAGCATCTGCAGATTTTTTTCCCCATAACATTGTTTCACACTGCTATTATCATAGTACAAACATCAGGGGAACAGTATAAGCATCATACCTACTCTGCACTTTATAGGGGGACCTTTATGGCAACCTAGAGAAGAGGAGTTGTGATGGTGATGGTTTAACACAATCTCAGTTGAGTACAGCAGTACTGTTGGCATTGCTCCCCAAAAAATCTTCTAAACTATGGACTTAGATTGTATCAGACAGGAAGTAAGCAGGGGAGGATACAGCTCACTGCTGTGTATTCAAACAACAACAGGATGAAAATCCTCTTTTGATGCCCTGGTGAGCAGATGCGATGTCCATGGTGGCTCAGAGGTAGCCTTTAGCATCAGCCCCCTTCTACCACAGTTGCTGATGGTCTCCGGTACTGGTGCCTGCTGGCTCCTTTCTCTGTACACTGCACAGGACACTTGCCTTGCACTTAACACGTGCTTTGTACTGAAGCTCTGAGTGTTGTGAGTGATGAGGTCAGGAGAGGAATTTTTTGTCATATTATACAATCCTGTCACTTCACAATCCATCTTTGCATCCTGTCACTTGCCACAAGCAGCTCTAAAGAAACAAAGCACTCTCTTTTACTACTCACATGTCAATTAATTTACTTAATCCTGTGGATCTCTGCATGCAGCAGGGATTGTGGACAGACAATATTTTCCAGATTGCATACATTAATGGGGAACAGGAAAGAAGATCAGCCTTTCTAGAAACTGTAATTTTTCTGACTTCTCAAGGACTTTCAGAAAAGGAGGCTGAAAAGCTAGGGATTTCTGGCTGTATTAATAATTACAGGCATATAAACCTGTTTGGTCCCTTGCAATGGCATTGGCTTTGAGGCTGCTCCTGGCAGTGTTACTTACTGCCATGAGCTGTTTATCACTCAGGGTACAGTAGTACATTTAAAGAGTCCTCATCAGGTGAAGTCACATAGTAAAGGGATGGTTGTTCTCAAGGAGCTGAGGTATAACTGCGTATTACTAGTTCCAGAAAGCAATTTTATTTTTCTGGTTTTGAACAAAGAGGGTTTTTGTGTAGAGAATAGAGAGGCACAGTAACATGCAAATTCAACTTTAAGTAGAGAGTGCTTTCAACCATTGCAGGCACTTTTACATACTGCTTAATCCTTTTTATTTTTGTTTCTTAGAATTTGTGTGTGGCAAGAGTAAAAACTATGAAGTTATCTGCTGAGTATGCTACAGATAATAGCATACCATATATGTAAGATATTACTTCAAAACCACATTGCACTACTGTTGTGATTCTGCAAAAGCAGTGTTTGTGGAGAAAACTAACTAAAAGGAATGCTGGCCTGTGCTCTAAGCTGCACCTGTGCATGTATTGGGATGGTGTGTTTTTATGGTTTGAAATGGTGTACTAAGAAAGACATGTTTTGATTTTAATGCTACTGTGAAGTTCTCTGTCGTGGTACCCTGATATAATAGAAATAGAAGTCTTCAATATTTTCCATAAGGAAATTGAAAATACAGAATCTGGGAACAAGGTGGTTTTATTCCTAAAGATGAAACTATTTTTCTGGTAATATAGAAGCCAAAAGCTTCATGACCTAAACTAATCATCAGATAGGGTCAGGAAGACATTGCTTTCTTTTATGGTACAGCATCCTCCTCTGGAGAGGGATGTGCCTGAGAGTAGAAGTGACCTGCCTTCTACTGAAGCACCTGACATAAGTCACTCCAGAGGGAAAAAAGTATTTGAGGAAGTCTTAGGTGACTATTCTGTAAAAACCACTATCATATGAAATACTTAAAAAGTATTTCCTATCAACAAAAATGCCATTTCAGCTTTAAGGAGAAAGACTTTGAAATACTTGAGGTGAGTCTTGTAATTTTACAACAGTTTATTCAGAGAAAATGTTTTATTGACAGTACTGAAGATCAAACCTGCTGGGAAATTAAAGGCTCTATTATTATTTCATCAAAGAGTGTAAAATTTTATTTCGTTTCTATAAGAATAAATCTAGGTTTTAACTACTTTTACAGTGATGATTACAGAACTTGTTAGCCATATGTTAGCTCTTCAAATCTGAGCTAAACTGCCTATTCCAACTGTAGAAATAATTGGTGTATCTAAGTTACATTAGAATGGCATACTTGTTTTTCAGACTTAAACAGGTCTTTCTTTTGTACGCAGAGGTGACTTATAAATAAGTACTTTGTCAGAGGCAAGGTTCCCTATAAGCCTTTCTAATTTGAAAACCTATGACTGGCAAGCTCCTAGTAGATACTGTGCTCTTCACCTCATTAGTGAAATTACACGATATTCAAACTTAGATACTTGTTTATGGAACAGAAGGGAATACACATTCTATCTTGTCTTTTATACTGAAGTAAATGATGGGGAATCTAATCTTCAGGAGATGACACATTGCGAAAGTTAAAATAGATTTCCATTTCCCTTTCTGCCATTGACTTACTGTGTGACTTGGGAAAACCTTGTTTAACAGATAAGTGACTGCTGGAGGTAATGCCACATGAATCTAACTTACTGTGTGCTTGCTCTTTCCTTAGAGGTATTTTTGAAGTCTACTGAATAAATATTAGGTGTCCATATAAAAGCATTTCCTGCATTTTTTGCTCAAGCAATGCTAGTGGGCTATTTTGCTAAGGCTTGCCTTACAGCAAAAGACCTTCAGCTGCTGCACAGAAGGGCTACTGCAGGTCCTGCAACTTGCTGGGATGCCATGCGAAGTGCTAGTGAGGGCATGTCTCTACTGTGCATTTCATCTTTTTTGTGTGCTGAAGAAAGTATGTGAGAGTACTTAGTGCTGAAGGACTTTTGAGTTTTTTAACTATCTTCATATCCAGCAATAGAAGGATTCTCAAGTAATTTCAATGTCAAGATGTATTGCGTATGTGAATATTTCTATAGAATAATGGTATGGATTTTTTCATAGATAGATTCCTGAGAAAGTTGTGCTATTTTCATTGTAGGCTGGAAGTTTTCAGAGAGAAAGCATTAAAAAAGGTATTTCTCCTCCATTTTGACCTGAATACAATATAATTTTTCCTTCATTTTGATATAAAGCAATGGGATGATATCTTCCGCACTGACCCACTGATATTTTCATTGTGATATAGGGTGGGAGCAGACCCATAGTGAAAACAGCAGTGGGTCAGTGCAGAAGGAGACATCATCCCATAGCAACAGGAATTAATCTCTACCCTAGAACAAATGGGTAGTTCTTTTTCCTAAAGAAACACATGTTTCTACGGCTGGAAGACATTGTGAGATTAAAAAACAAAAAACTACCTACATAAAGAAATCTCGCGGTCTGAAAGAAAAATCTATTTCTGTAATTGGGAACTGTGAAACATAAACACCTTCTATGGTCACACAGCCAAGGATAAATTGCTTAAAATAGCTAACAAGCAAGCAAAACCCACAGTAAAAATCTTCAGTTTACTTCCTCTTCCTGGGTTGAGATGAATCTTCATTTTCCTCTTATTGAGAAACTTCTATGGATTACAGTCACTTGGGCACTGTTGGGTGCCCAAGCTGTATATGTAATATTTCAGAAATATTTGCTACCAATTTTTGCTTTTATGTCCTGTAACTCTATTGCAACAGACTGATAGAAGAGGTCAACTTGCTCATTCACTGCAGAGCATTTAAAACTTGATAGAGTTTCTTCACACAGGGAGCGAGTAGCCAAGACTAACAGTGACAAAAATAATGCTGTCTGTGAAATGGTGAAAAACAGCTAGCTGATATGCCTATCAGAAGCATGTTTTTTCAGAAAAATTAAAAAGATTTCTTTAGTCTCCTTTTATCATGGAAGAAAAATACTCAGAAGCTTTTCCTGAAGATTTATATTCACACAGAGGGTACTGGAATCTGATACCCTGAGTGGAGACCTGTTTTATTTAATTTTCCTCTATTTATTGTGGGAAAGGTTTCTCTGGGAGTTTTGTGATACAGCAGCATTGTCTACCTCCACTTGGGCTGGCTGACACTGCAGGCTGTGTTCCTGTCTGTGGTTACTGTGGTTACTCTCCATCATGTTCCTAATTCAGGAGCTGTAACAGTGCTTGCTGTGCCCACCACCCCCTTTGGATGTGCTGCAGTCAGTCACATATGCCCCAGCTGGTGAATCCCCATGGCTGCTGTACTATTATTTTATCATCTTGCTATCTGCTTTCTGACCTCTCCATGATTTTCCACCATAAGGTACAGATACATGCATCATTTTCTTGTACTCTTCCAGAAGCCTGCATTCATTTCTTGGCCCCTGTTTCACTGAGGTCATTTTATGCAGTGTTCATATGATATTGGCAAAATGCCATTCTGACTGCAGGGCAGGGGTTTTCTGCCATAATAGAAATAATTTTGTGAGGCATTAAAAGACACCTAAGATTTCAAGTTTAATTTAAATGTCTTTCTAGTTTATAAGTGACTTGAAGGTATTGGTCCTGATCTGTGTGAGTACTTTTAACTCACACGCTCATTTGTGTTTTATTCCACTACTGGAGTAACTTAAAAATGGTTTCACCATTTCAGTTTTCTCATATTATATATATAATATAATGTATAATGGCCAGTCTTCGCGAGCGAAGATCCGGGGAAGGTCTTTACACCTTCCAGCCTGCGCATTGGATTTTTTAGGTGAGACACAGTGTGCGCGGAACTGAGCCCACCCTTTAATCCTAAGGTTCATCTGCCGGGGCCAAGCGAGCTTGGACGGTGGCAGTGAGGTCCTTAGGACGTAGATGGGTTGCCTTTAAGAGCTAACGAGCCCCACCTGCCCGGGAGTTTCTCATATAAAGCACACTAAATACAGCACAAGAACCCATAGGCAGGCTACACAGGTCTCTACTACAGGCAGAACCAGTTGTACTTCAAAATCAGGAACACTTCTACTCATAGGCTAGCTACTATTTGAAAGTCTAAAGGACCCTAAACAATTTAATTCCAGTCGCACTGAATGGCAGAGTGAGAAAACAATTTCTCAAGAGCATTACGTCTCCTACTTTTTAAACTAAACTTACTACATATATTACATACATGATATACATACATATTTAACCCCTTGAAAGGAAGCAAGATGGAGAAAACTGAGTCAGTTTGAAGCATCATATTTTTTCAGCATTTCTTATAGACATCCCTTGTCTGCTCTTAAGAACTGCTGTTGCCATGTTTATAGTCTCGAAGTGTTTCTGTCATGCTTTTATGTTATGCTCTAACTTAATACTGCCATGCTTGACTGCCTCCCATTCTCTTCCTAATAATCACTTTATAATACTCAGTAAGATTCATTTCAGCTCATGGTCTTCATCACTGCTTTAGACTTACAGTCAAGAGTGTGTATGTATCTGAAGAATAAGAATTGCAATGCAACACATAAGAAGCAGTATCCTGTTAAAAGGCCCGTCCAGCTGTGTCCCAATTTTCACAGCAGTTGCAATCCCAAGACCATCCATAAGGAGTGTGTCTAGTACAAAGATAAAGCTAAAGAGTGGTTTGATTCTCCAGCTATGGTCTTTATTGAAACTGGTTGTGTTGAACATAGAGTATGAAGCATAAGGCTGCCTATGTAGTTTGTGTGCTCTGCTCTGTGTGTTGCAATAGCACCAGACTGAAATAAGCTGTCACAAAGAACTCCAGAGTCCAACATTTCTCCTTAGAAAAAATGAGGGGGAACAGGAATAATTTTCAGTATAGATTCCAGGAAACAAGCAAAACTGATCACGTGCCAGATGACACAAAAATTATAGAAGTCTTTGAAATGGTACTGCACTGGTTTGCATACCTTTCCCAGTATGGTATCCTGAAGTGCACTATTTTTATTTGCTACTTTCTGGTTTTCAGAGATAAAAAGTGTAACAATTTCTGGTATTACAAACAAAAAAAGATATGTTGTGCATCTATGTGCTCCACTTGTGCTGCACTGCTCTTGAAGAGGCATAATTGTGTCTGAATAAGGTATTACACAGTGATTTCACCCCTCCCCCCGCCCCCTATTCAGGATTAAACCATACAAAAAATTACTCAAAGTGGTCATATGATTTACAGCTTTTATCCACCTCCGTGAAATGATGGTGCCTCATACTGAGCTGTTATTCTCTGTGTCGTGGAGAGAATGATGCACTTTATCCATAAGAGAGAAGCAACAATATACCTTATTGATCTAAAATAATGAGTTAACAGAGTTCAATGGCAAATGACAGCCAGTTAAAAAGATTTGATGGCAAGGTATGCTTGATTATTTGCTACATAAAGGACAGGGTTAGACAGAACTGTGACAGAGATCCTCCTGTTGGGTCATGGTGTCTAGACAAGATCCCCTTGCATATCAAATGTCTTCTCAGAGAGGAGTTTAGGTGAGGCAGGATCCAGATATAGACTTGGTCAACAGTTTATGTCTAAGAGATTATATGTGCACAATCAATCCTTCGTATCACTCACCTGAGATTTCAAAGTTTAGCATGTGGTTAATCACTGAGAATTTCCTGCCACAGGGAATCTCTCAGCCATAAGCAATAACCCTGAGAGGTGTTCTTTCACAAGTGGAGATTCCAGCTTTCAGCCAGCTTTGTGCAGCAGTGCTCAGCAGGCCTGTGTGGAGACCTCTGAAAAGTATATTGAATGTTAAACTCCTACTAACATAGGAGTTGACTAACATAGCATTAACATAACTGCTCTGAGTCTTACCAGAGAGACTTGCATTTGCAATTTATACTAGGAAGTTTCATTGTATACCAAGTTCAGCTAGTTCCAGTTGTGCATTTTCAATGAATGCTTTTTGCATATGTCTGTGAAAGAGCTCACCAACAATGATCTCTCTGAGAGAATGATCTCTGAAGAAATTCTGAGGAGACTTGTCAGGACTAATGCTCCCTTTTCTGTAAGATTCACCCACATTCAGATGGTTTTACATTGCAGTCTTTTGAAACTTCTTATTTGTCTCAGCTGAATAGATTCTCTGTATAGCATTGTACAAAATGCCATAGTTGAGTCCTTGGACAGATAAATAAAAAATTATAGTATTGAAAATATGTTAAGATTAATAGAATTAAGAAATATGCTTCAGTGAATCACAGTGGCACACAGATATTATACCAAATTATCACAATATCACTCTGAATTCCTATTTTGCTGTCCAAAGTGACCGGTGAATAACATATTTTGCATTTTTTTTAATACCTAAACAGATCCTTCTCAGTAAAACGGTAAATTACAAAACTAATAATAATAGAAACCATGAGATTTTTTTCTTTTATGTAAAGAAATAATTTAGCCAAACAACTTAAATTTTCCAGTTATAGTGAATTTATAATATTTTATATTGCAAAAGGAAGTGTTTCTATGGGAATCCAAGATTCCTTTGCCAGAGTACAATCTTCTTTTTGGTGAATGCAGAGTATTATAAAGTAAAAATAAAGTGCATTTCTAAAAAAACACAACATCATGATAGTTAAAATTAGTTGTGCATGGTATGCTTAGTTTCTTAAGAAAAATAGTATGTAATTTCATTACAGGGAAAGAATTTTATGAGCACTCAATGATCGCTGTAGTTACATATTTGACAGAAATCCAATTTTGTTGTTCTCACATGAAAATCATCATTTTGATCTCAGTAGTGAGATGGAGCAGTCTGTTATTGTATGTCTTTCTGAAATTGTTCCTCTGCTGCTCCTAGGCTGTAGGAACTCTAAATTGTTGGTATTAATATTGTCTGGAAAGGTCAGGGAATAGTTTATTTGTCAGTATTTGTCTAGATTCTGAATAAAGTTGCAGAGCTTGCTGCTAACTCTCATTGATGCTCAGTGTTAGCTTGTACTGTGCTGAATTTGCAAAGACATTGTTTCTTTTAAAGGATGTTTTAAAGTATCATGGCTAGGCTTCGCGAACAAAGATTTGGGAAGGACTCTACCCATGCTTGCTACAAGCGCACTGATGGCTAAAAAGCCCAATGTGAGATAGACAAGTCCAGTTGCAAAGGGCACAGCAGAAAGACTCCCCAGGTGATATCGACAAGACGCGATTCTTTCTGCGTTACCTTTTGCCCTTGAGAGTGATCCTGCGTGTGTTCTCAAAGGAAGCAGCAGCATTGTAGATGGTGTGTCTCCAGGCCTCCTCATTGGAGGCCAGGGTAGACCAATGGTGGTGATCAATATGGCCAAGGCTGAGGGATTGTTTCAGGCAGTCCTTGTACCTTCTCTTCGGGGCTCCTCTCTTGCGGCAGCCAGTGGCAAGTTCCCCATAGAGCACGATCTTAGGGAGGCAGCAGTCCTGCATCCTGGAGACGTGCCCTGCCCAACGCAGCTGTGTTCTCAGCAGCATGGCCTCAATGCTCGTGACTGCTGCCTGTTCAAGGACAGACGTGTTGGTCACACAGTCAGCCCAGTGGATGTTTAGGATTGTACGGAGGCAGCGCTGATGGAAGCGTTCTAAGGGTCGCAAGTGGTGGCGGTAAATGACCCATGATTCAGACCCATATAAAAGAGTAGACAGTACAATGTATATGGTTCAATAAAAGGACATGTTATTTCAGGCAATAAAAAAAGGACCTCCAGTGAACAGGTCATATTTACATTTATGAAACTTATGTTCTAAACACAAGCTTTTCTTCAGTAATATGACCTTTCCAAAATAATAGATTAATGCTTTTCTCTTGAATAGTAAATAATTTCCATTTAAATTATTTTATGTATGATATATAGATATTGCTGGAACAATGTACAAATAAACTACTCCATGGGATGCTCAAGTTGATGAAAGTTCATCTTGTTATGACGATCTAGTCTGACTGTTTTGAAAGTGTTTCTTTTGATGGAAATGATTTTGTAGGCTTAATTTTTCTTTCCTCTCCTCCATTTCTTTCTCAGCTCTGACTATGACTTTCAGCTGGAAGATTGCATCCTAACCTTAATTCTTTAATAAGAAGCTCCCCTAGAGCCTCTCACTGACTGTAGTGCAGGTGAGGAACCGTAGTTTTGGGGTATTCAACATCAGAATAAGTGATGTGAAACATCATCCCTCTAAATCTGTTTGCAAAAGCATAATCTGAAAGGATTTTTCTGGTGATATGGTTACATAAGAAGACATTTTGCTGAGCAGGAATGGTCTCTCAAAATTTTTCCATGTTTTCTTGATACCCTTCCTATGTCAATGTAAATTTATGGATTCTGTTGTTTATGAACTTGCTCACCCATTGTTTTAAATGAGCTAATCATACTTACATCATACTTTGCTTATCTTGTTACAATGGGTCATTAGGGAAGGTCTCCAGTGTTTAATACTGACAACTAGATAGTCAGACCCCTGAATCCAGTGGAGGCAGGGTAAGTTAAGAACCTGAAAGGCCACCCTGTAAATCTTTCCTTCAGATATGCAGTTTTGTGACACTGTCAAACAAACATGAACTTTCAGTGGGGGAAAATAATTTTTTGTCTTTGATGTCCCGTTGTGTAAAAGATAAATAATTTAAAGTAAGGAAAAAAGTAACCTTAACAAGCCTGGTTCATTCTCTCTGGTTTAGTTTGTTTGGTTAGGTTTTTTTGTTTGGTTGGTTTTGGTTTGTTTGTTTTTGTTTTTGTTTTTTTTTTTTCCAGTAGGATAAATGGCATTTACCAGTACCTGTTTACACACAGCTTTTGAAAGTGAAGAATTAATTAATCTGTTTGTATCTCAGTCACTCTTATTTAAGAGTTCTTATTTTGAAGAAGTCACAATAAAAAGGTAAGAGAAGACAGAGAGGTTGGAC